ACACAAAGAAATAGTTTCATTTCAGGACAATTACTACATCTAATTGGCAATAAATGTATGCATCATAGACCAATGCAATATTATTCTTATAAGAAAATGGGTCACCAGCAGCCAAAAAACATTTCCACGGCTACTAAAAAGTACAAAAGAAGGAAGAAAAGTGAAATTGAAATGAAAAAAATCAGTCTAGGCAAAATTAAAATGAACTACAACTATTATATCTTAATAAAACCTCAATATCCATTACATATGAACTTCAGAGAAGCCCATTAATATCACAAACTAAGCATTAAAAAAAACATAATTCACAGTTACCAAGTCTTCTACACTAGAATGCAACAAGCCAAAAATCCTAATACAACAAGAACCACGTAATATTGACACTGTATTACACTTTATGCTTCGCTACTAATAGCTTGCACACACAAAAAGAAAATGAAAATGCAAAGTTACTGCAAAGGTAGTGTAAAGAAAATGCAAAAGATGCTGCAAAGTCACAATTCTGCATAAATGAAACAGAACATTCTTTTGAAACAAACCAATGACTGACTAATACCAACAGATGGACTTAAGGATGGCACATAAAGGACAACCAAACATAGGCAATAAGATAGTACACTGTTCTAGCTTTAGAATGACACCCAGAGATCGTATATCACAGTGATCATGTAGGTACTTCATCATCTTATACACCAATGACTCCACAACCAGACTGATACCAAGAGATTTAATTATATAAAACTGCTAAAAAAAGAAAAAACAAAAACAAAAAAAAAACTAATTCTAATTAGATATTTGATGCTATTTTGACTATCCCTACCAGAATCCTATAAAAGAAAATATCTGTAGTTGGACAGCCAGAAAAATGAAGCATGCAAAGTGTTGATCGCTTGCATACAAATGAAAAAGGGAGAGTATAACTTCTTACAGAGGCTGGTGAGTTCATCAGAACTGAACCACCTGATCATAGTTGGCTCAATTAAAAGTATTACATATCACCCTCAACAACTTTCAAACTCATGAGTTAACATTAATCTCAATTAACATTTATCAAGAAGGGAGATGTCAAGAAGAATGAGCAAAACCAGCAAGTACCCACATCACCAATACCAACCCAAAACACATGTTCACAAGCATACAAGTGATGCAGATAAATAATGAAACCAAATCCCTCTTCCCTATTCTATAGTTTTAGGGCTTCAAAATAGCATTAAAAAGAATTACACGTCAATCCGACATCCTACTTGACTGCAAAATGGCTGCTCAAATCCATCAAAGTTTTCCACCCTTGCATTTTTCTTTTGGGTTTTAATTATTGTATAGGAATAGGATAGATTATGCTGGCAACCTATAATGTCAATGCAAGCTTACTCAATAACCAAGGACCACAATTGCCGGCTATCAAGATGTACAAATTATCTTTTAAGTTGGATCCCAAATCCAATTCAATAAATTATTTTACAAGACAGTGCCAACCAAGTGTACAAAGTTATCTTATTTAAAGAAAATGCGCAGCCGTGTTTTATTATTCTAAACCAAAAGAAGGGAAGCACATTTTCTTGTATTCAGGGCTGCCACTGCTAAACAAGAAAGATATCTGCAGCAAAACACACCAAACATCGCACTGCAGACTTGAGAAAAATGAGAACTTCCCCTCCGTAGAGGCAACATAATTGCAACGACAAAAGCATCGGACACCACAAAAACATCAATATGGCCAAGTATATGAGAAAATGTAACAAATAATGCTCAGAAAAGTTCCAAAAAAAAAAAAAAGAAACCCAAACCAAATTCCCCAGTTTTTATCATGCATCATATCAATTCATTAGCTAATGATAAACAAAAGGCATGGCATTAATGGTCATAAAACAACCTGAACATTAAAATTAAAAGGAGGATTATGCATACCACTGAAACTTTACTTGCATAATGAGCTCTTATGTACAATACCAGTAGAAATCAGTTTATGAATTGGCAAAGCTTGAATTGATTCAAAAACTTTTCTAAACAACCAGAAACCCCGAGAAACTTGTACAACAATAGGTGGTCTTCTGGTCAGACGAATAAGAAATCTAATCTCAGGAAGAAGTAAATTAACGTTCTTTGATCTTAGAACATGGTTGCACAATTTTGCCATTCATTCTGGAAATATTAAGTACGTCAACAAACCTTACATTGTAAATAAAGGCATAAAAGCTCCAAATAAAAGAGCTAACTTGAATATATGGAGGGGGCGTGGTCATCCTAGTGGCAATTCCATGGGCTTTGAACCAGCTCAGATTTGATCTAGGTTTCCCATTCGCACTTTCTTAGTACCTCTTGCTTGAGAGTGGAGATTCAGCCCACTGCTCACGGCCAAAATTGCAGTTGAGAGATTTGATGGGAGACGGTGATCGGTGAAAACGGCAAGAAGTGGGAGATGAGAGAGGGGTGTTCTTTGTTTCTTTTTTATTGGCTTTATTTGACCCGAAATCTAATTTTACCCAGATTGAGATCCGCGAATTTATCCATTTGCATTTCCTTTCCTTCGTTTTCCTCATGTTTTGGTGATGAAACCATTTTTAGGCAAAAATAGCTTTTAGTTTCCCTACCATTTCCTGAGATTTCTTCTCTCTATGAGGTGTGCAAATATCAATTCCCTTTCTTTCATTGCCAAACACAGGAAATTGGTTTTCAGGGTATCACTTTCCATTTCCTCAGCCCTTTCCTGGAACCAACCAGGGTATTAGGAAAAGAGAGGAAAAAAATGGAAACTTTGGAAAAAAAGATAAATCTTGTTCTTATTCCTCCACCTTTATTTTTTTTGGGGGTTGGGGGGGGGGGGCGAGGGGGAATGCCCTTCACCTCCAGGGACATATCTATATCTATACTATATAAAAACAGGGGTTTCGAGTAAACATTTATTGCCACTTTATAAACTTTCATTTTTGTCCAAATAAAAGCTCAATTTACTTTAACTACCTACATAGATGTTCTCAAGATAACTACCCCATGAGCATTTTTTGCTTTTACCTATTTAAGCATATATTTTCAACATAACCACTCCTAAATATTATAACTACCAATGTAAACTTATTTTATAAAACATTTAAAAGATTAAAGTTTGTTTCAACAATGAAATTTTTATATAAAATATATGACAATAAATATAATGTATTTCTTTACTGCACACACATTGAGTGTGCATTCAGCACTAGTTAAGATAACTGTCAAACTAGCCTTTTTTTTATCTCTTGAATTGATTAGCCGTCTGAAAAATCTCAGTGATTATGAAAAAACTTCACAAAAGAAGGAGACACATCGAATAATTGACAGCCCCAGTTTAAGAAATCAAACAAAAGCAGCAACCATGACAAACCAATCCCCATAAACAGCATAATGACTTTAAATAAAATTACTTTATATGGACTAAAAAATGAACAAAAAAAGAGATGGCAGAGGATTCATGTCCCAGCTCCACAACATCCCTCAAACTAAATGGCCTTAGAGGAATGGTGATTCTACAGTTTTGCAAATCTGCTGTCAGTAAGTTGCACTTCCATTTTCCAGATAAAAGCAAATAAAAAAAAAGGGAAATTCAGGGAATCAAGAATCAAATCCAATCAGTATAGAGCAGTGTACCTGCTCCAACCCTGTTGCACAACTTCCCAACACCTGAAGACCATTACAGTTATCTGAGGGCACAACACACCATATTGTCAAATTTTCTTCCCTGCCTGCAAAACATTAAAGCACTATAACCTGTTAGTCAATCAAGCCTCCTTTATATACAAATTATGGCCGCACCACAATATTCTACACACTTTTCCGATGAACCAAAATTAAATCTATTGCTCACCGGAGATTTGTATAGCTAACAGCAATCGCTGAACAATCTTAAAGGTTTTGTTTTCTATATTGAACAGTATTTTCTAACGGGGTTCTGTAAAGCTGAAAATACCCAGATAGAGATAATGAAAAAGAAGAAGCAGAAGCAGAAGCAGATACGAATAAAAATTGAAACTTTACAAATAGGAGTGGTTTCTACTTTCTATGTTCAAATATGGAAATTTATAGGTATGGCCCCTCGAGAGTCGAGAGTAAAAAGGTAAACGAGGTTTCGATTAATATTTACCAAGAGGCCCCTTAGGTCTGTAGTATTTGTGATTTGGGACATTTAGTCTCCTAAATAGCAAAATAATAACACCTTAATGTCTTTTTCATGCGACCTTTTTTTTTTTTTTTTTGTCAAAGTAATATTCTTTTCAAAAGATTTTGCAAAAGTCCAATCTCTTTCCCACGATAATGTTGCTGTGTTTTGGCACGTGGGTATCCCATTTGGTACCAAAAAAAAATGGCTCTTGCGACTATTTGAACTAAAACCTCGCTCTAATGGTGCATTTAATAAAATTAAAATCTGAATTTATTAATTTATTGAATTATTAAATATTAAATTTAATACACTTGAGTGTATATCATATTCGTTAATAAGTGAATAATTTATCACTTAATTTTGAAAATAAATTTTATCTAAAATATTCAGTATCACCTAATTAATTCAGATGTTCAATTTTTTAATTATCAAATGGTATAATATGTTAAGATTTAAATTATTATGTGTTGAATTGAATTATCAAACAGAATCTAAATCTCAATGAAGCGTCTATTCACCTGTTATTACAAGAAATAATTAGTTAAAATGATTAGTGCAACGAAACATAAATTTTGCATACATTATTGCACAAATATATCCATATTTCAAGTCAGCTAATTTTCAACGATTAACTGCATTTACCTCTCTTGAAACTTGACTAATCCATCAATCAAATCTTGAGGCTTAGCCAAATAACAAATACCCCTTGTAATTTAGAGGGTAAAATCTAGTCAATTTCACACAAAATTTTAGATATAACTAATACAAGTAATGAAATATATCACAAATTGCATTAAATTTAAAAAATAATTTTAAATTTTATTAGGATATAATGAAGAAAATTTCTCTCCAAATGCAATGGAAGGGTACGAAACACGCGGGAACGTGCAAATTGCACGCTTCACGCCAGCGCAACTGCCCAAAGGACGTCAGACGCTTGAGATTTCTTCTCTGTCCGTCCAAATTCTCCACCAATCACCTCTCTCCTCCACCTGCCACCGATCCCATCAGCCCAGAAACTACCAATATTGCCATTTACCACCACCACCAATCTCATTGTACTATCCTTTGATTTGATTACTACTAATATAATAATAAGGGGAGCAAAAAACCTAGTAACAGAATCCTGATAGGATAGGTAGTATATTACGAGGTGGAGTATCAAGAATCTCATCTGCATCTTATCTGCCACCCACAAAAACCTAGCCAAAAAGTGTCAAAGGTAGCCCCCTTTTTTTCTTTTTCCATCCAAAGCTCAGCAAGTAGTAATACTAATAGTAATAGTGGTGGGTTGGGGTGATCTGGTAACCTATTACACTGTAGAGGGTTCAGAGATTAATAGGTCAACAGATGGGGACGGTGGAGAAGGCCGGTGCTTCTGTGGAGATTTCAGAGCCTTTGCTGCAGCAGGTAGATGATGATGATGATTCCAAGAATAAGGATCTGCCGGGCGAAGAATTCATTCCGGATTGGAAACATCAGATTACCTTCCGGGGCCTTCTTGTGAGTGCCCTGTTGGGTGTTCTTTTTTGTATCATCACCCACAAGCTCAATCTCACCGTCGGCATCATTCCCTCCCTCAATGTCGCCGCCGGTTTGCTTGGTTTCTTCTTCGTCAAGTCCTGGACCGCCTTTCTTTCCAAATTAGGCCTTTCGGTTCACCCCTTCACCCGTCAGGAGAATACCGTTATCCAGACTTGCGTTGTTGCTTGTTATGGCCTCGCTTTTAGTGGTACTACTAACCCCACTTCTCTGTACTGCTCTCATCTTTAACTTGCATAATTCTTTTTTTTTTTTCCTTTTCTTTTTCTTTGTCTGGCAGTTTTTGGATGCGAGTAGTAATTTCTGTGCAGTGACAAAAGTTGGCTTCTCGTTATTGAGAATTGGTGTGTAGGTATTTCTAGCCTTAGCTGCCTGTGTTTGGGAGAGTCTTCGAATTAGTACTAAAATGAAACTAGTTCTCTGATGTCATTGTTAGTGTCATGAACATGTCTAGGTTATCTAAAACTGGAGTTTTTTTTTCTCCATTTTCTCTGTTTACTTGATTTGTCCAATTCCCTAACTATATTGTGCTCATGCCACATGATTGTATTGTTCCTTATTTTTACTTGGCTATGGCAGGGGGTTTTGGGTCGTACATGCTCTCAATGGATGAGAAAACGTACAAGCTGATTGGTGAGGACTATCCTGGTAACCGGGCAGAAGATGTTAAAAATCCAGGATTGTTGTGGATGATGGGTTTCACGTTTGTTGTTAGTTTCCTTGGCCTTTTCAGTCTTGTCCCACTTCGTAAGGTGACTTCCAATGCTGATAATTCTGTCTTGCTCCACCGATTCTAGGAATGCAAATCATCCCTTGCCGCTAGGCTATGTGTTTAACTTATAGGCTTTTTTTTTTTGGTTCAGTCTGTAATTGTGTAAATTGACACGGCTTTCTTGTTTATTTCATGACCTGAAGATATATCAGTTGGTCCTTTCCTCTTTCCTATTCCCAATCATGCTTGTTAGGGATTGATAATTGTGTTTCCATTTTGCATCATTATCACTGCCATTCTAGATTTAGAGCGCTCTTTGCAATTGGTACTGGAGCCCTTAATCCTTCACCAGTTGTTTTTTGTGTCATTCTTTTTAATCTCCTATGGCCCTAATTTCAGGTTATGGTCTTGGATTATAAGTTGACATACCCTAGTGGAACTGCCACGGCAATGTTGATCAATAGCTTCCACACAAGCAGTGGAGCTGAACTTGCAAGGTAAGCAACTGCATTTTTAGTTTTTGGGTGCCTTTTGTTCTTGTTTGTAAAGCGTATAAGACATTGAGAAAAGCTTTTTCTTGTTTGTGTGCACCGAAGTCATCAAATTAAAATTACAGTAATGAAGATAGGCTGAGGCATGGTGTGGTATGGTCCTTGTTTTCTGTAAAGTTTGTTTTTCAATCTCTAGTACTATTTTCTGAAATGACAAATTGTATGAGCTTTCCAGGAAACAAGTGAGCTGTCTTGGAAAATATTTGAGCATTAGCTTCTTCTGGAGCTGCTTCAAATGGTTCTTCAGTGGCGTTGGGGGTTCATGTGGATTTGACAATTTTCCCAGCCTGGGGTTGGCATTATACAAAAACACGTAAGTTTCTCTGCCTCCAATATTAGATATAGTTGATTTTGAGTCCAAATGGCTGCAATTTTTAGACCAGGAAGTGAATACAACTTCTACTCTTTGCCTCTCCTTTGTGAGTTCTGAGAGGTGTAGCAATTACTTGAGAGGTGTAGCAATTACTAGCAGTAATTTTCCTGTAAGAAACACATAATTTCTTATTCTCATCGATTCTCCTGATGTTGAATTCATAACATGGTGCAAGTGCCTTAGAGACATTCTTTTTCTGCTAAAGCAATTTTTATACAAGAGCTAGTTGTCAAGCTATAAATATGTCTGACTGAAAATGCATAGACATACAATATTTTAGTTGCTTGATACTACAAATCGGGGTGGAAGCCAAGCTAACCTTTTGGTGAGTTAGTTTTGGTCTCGATATGTGGTGGTAATGTTATATATCTTGGTTGTTGAGTGGATAACTATTTACCCTGAGAGGGCTGTACTAGCTGCTCATAAATGTATTGAGCTATCTTGTAGTCTTGTACAATTTTAGATTTGATCAAATGATGCTGAAAGGATCCTATGAACTTTCTGTGCTGAAAATGGCAAAGAAAAGAAAAACTGAAATAGAGAGGGATGCTGTACTTCAGCTTGCTTTTATCTTAGAAAAACTGTAACCTTTGTTTTCATGATTGATATTATTGGTGACCTCTAAAACAAGAACTCTTTGCACAGGGCATATGAAGGGTAAACTCTGGATCACAAGTGTGGATTACTCGTAGCTCATATTACTGATGCTTGAGTCTTGCTCCTGTGTTGCAGGTTTTATTTTGACTTTAGTCCTACCTATATAGGATGTGGTCTGATCTGCCCTCATATTGTCAACTGTTCTGTTCTTTTGGGGGCCATTATCTCGTGGGGTTTTCTTTGGCCCTTCGTTTCTCGGCATGCTGGTGACTGGTACCCGGCGGATCTTGGCGCCAATGACTTCAAAGGTCTATATGGTTACAAGGTACCTCAAAATATTTTTCTTTACAAATTCCATAAGAAAGATTAGCTATGTGTTTAGACAGACATTAACAAGTAAAGGCAGTTTTAACAGCTGCAGCTAATAAATGTTCTCTATGCAATTAAAGCTTCCTTTTTTTCTGCCTCTACTATGATATTGTTTGGAAGCTTACAAAATAAGAAAGAGGTTGAGGACATATTTGAGGAGCCAAAAGATAAGTGGGTGTAAAGGGCATCACGAATACTGAGTGTTTAAGCATAGCTATTCCTGTGATAATATCAAAGCATAAGCAACTGATTAGTAAATAACTTGAGTACCCTTTTTCTTCATACTGACATAGTCCAACACTATACACCATAGTTAACACATGAAAAGCCTGAATTTCTTTGATCTGTAACTCTGAGCATCAAATGGGTAGCTTTGCATGGGGGAAGTATGTGTCTCTGACTTCTTAAGGCTTCATGAGGACTTGGGGATGGTACCACAAAAGCAGTGAACATAAATTTACTTGGCAGAGTGAGACACTATGAGCTTCTTTGATCCATTAGAGGAGTTCTGTTAAAAAAAAAAATAGAAGTTGGGTATTGTGTATGCTTTCATCCATGGAGAAAGAATGAAATTTTACAGAGGCAAAAATTCAATTTTCAAAAACCCCCTTATTTTTCCTTTTGATAAAGCCAGTGATCAAGCTATTTAATACTTCACATCATTGTCAGACAGCCCATTTTGATTATGATATGCAGCAGAATTTCCTATCTCAACTGGGAGAGATTTTTTTCATGCGTGTTAAATTGGATTTTTTGGTGTGACAATCTCATGCGCGTATTATGATTGCAGGTCTTCGTTGCTATTTCACTAATTTTGGGTGATGGGCTTTACAATTTAATTAAAATAATTGCCATCACATTTAAGGAAACGTGCAAAATTAGCACTAGACAAAAGGACCTTCCCATTTTCAAAGAGGTTTTAGGTAAGGAGTGGTGGTCAATGATTATTTATTTTATCTCATTTATATTGCTGTGTCATTTTCTTTTGACATTTATTACTACCCTTTTTTGTTGCCTGTTAAATTTTTGGTGGAATGAACTCTGCAATTGCAAGTTCAAGTGTATAAAAAGAAAGTTGAAGAAATAACAATTCTTCCTACTCTTTCCTGGCATCCTTCCCTTTTAAGGACTAAAAACCCCACTGAGATTACCCAATTCGGTACTAAATTCATACGTGTGTTCACATTCCTTGACTACCATTATATTATGTACCTATATGCTGTATTAATGTTTGAACAGATAGTGACACTTCCAAAAGATTACTAGAGGAGAAAAAGCGGGATGAAGTATTCCTGAAGGACAGGATTCCATTTTGGTTTGCTGCCTCTGGATATGTTGGCTTGGCTGCAATATCCACTGCTACAATTCCAATCATCTTTCCGCCGCTTAAATGGTATTTGGTCCTTTGCTCATACATAATTGCTCCTGCCCTTGCCTTCTGCAATTCCTATGGGACTGGGCTAACAGATTGGAACTTGGCTTCAACATATGGCAAGATTGGCCTTTTCATTTTTGCTTCACTGGTTGGAAGTAATGGTGGCGTTATCGCTGGGCTGGCAGCTTGTGGAGTTATGATGTCCATTGTCTCAACTGCAGCTGATTTGATGCAAGATTTTAAGACAGGCTATCTAACTTTGTCATCAGCCAGATCTATGTTTGTCAGTCAGTTAGTTGGAACAGCCATGGGCTGTGTCATTGCACCGCTTACATTTTGGTTGTACTGGAGCGCCTTCGATATAGGTTCTCCTGATAGTCCATACAAAGCACCGTATGCCATCATATATAGGGAAATGGCTATTTTGGGGATTCAAGGCTTTTCGGAACTGCCCAAGCATTGCTTGGAACTCTGCTTGTTTTTCTTTGCTGTGGCTGTAGCTGTAAACTTCTTGAGGGATGTCACCCCTAAAAGGGTGTCACAGTTCATCCCTATACCAATGGCAATGTCAGTACCATTTTATATTGGAGCTTACTTTGCGATCGACATGTTTGTTGGAACCGTAATATTGTTTGTCTGGGAGAGGCTAAACAGGAAGGAAGCAGAAGATTACTCAGGCGCTGTTGCTTCAGGTTTGATATGTGGTGATGGTATTTGGACCATTCCCTCAGCAATCCTATCAATCTTCAGGATTAATCCGCCCATCTGTATGTACTTTGGCCCCTCCTCAGGCAGTTGAGGAACTGCAACATCATGTAGTGTATCCGCGTGTTCTGTGTTATGTACATATATGCCTTCGGCTTGTACCATGTATTTCAGCGAAAATCTTTGCTCCTATTGTACTGCATTTGCCTCTTCATAATATCGTCTATGGTTGAAAAATATTAACATTCATAAAGCTGGTGGAAAGATAATAATGCTACAAAAGTTATGGGATTCTTGTGGAACTGGTCTAGTAAGGAAGTGATTTCATTTCTCTCTATGAACGTTTGCCTTGCTCAAACCATTCATTCTCCTCCTATTCGTACCACTTGAGCAGTGATGACAGCCTTGCTTCCCATTTAATGGTTCTCATATTATAACAGGCGAGACGTTCGATGGTTTGTGCCAGCTGCCTTATAATTAATTCATAAAAAGACGATAATTTAAGAAGTTTAAACTTGTAAAAGAGAGCAGCGAGGGGCCTGCTGCCTGCCAATGCTGCCTGGTGGGAAGCATATATATGACAATAGTGGTGCAATCAGTGCGTTTGTGTTGGTGATTACAGACATGACATAGCGCGATCAAGTGTCGAAACTACTGAGTAGTTTATTGCCCTTTCGCTCGCATGACCTGATTAAGACGCTTGAGGCCTTCATTGTGGATACAGAGTTCGGAAGGATCGTTTTATCATTCGTGCAATGCAAGGCCTGGTGCATGATAGTAGTATTCTTCTGACTCTATACCCGCATTGAAGGCTTGATGCATTTCAATCAGAAGAAGATGATCCTGGCTGCAGGGCCACAAGCTACCCGATAGTCAACATACAGTTCTGAATCCCATAAGCAACCCCAAATAAAATGGCCAAAATAGTACAACTTGAAAAAGAAAGCATAACTGATCTACGAATTCCCCAAATAACATTAAATCGCATCTGCTTCAAATCATATTTAGATCCTCAATTTACAAAACAACGCTGACCCCTTACAAAACCTTCCAACTCAGTTACAAGAATCTTTTGAAACTTTTCAACTAAAGGTTAAAAGAATCATCCTACCTCACTTCACTTCTAAGCATACAACACGAAAAGAAAAAGAGTTTTAGACTGAGCAGGAACTAATCACTTGAGGTGCTCGAGCAAGTCTTAATTTGAGACTCGATTTAACTCTTGAGCTGCAACCAGAAAGGTCTCCAACTTCTAACACTAGGCCACCAAACCTAAAATGCCATACGACCAGCAAGCCTGCTTTCTGATATCCTTCTATCAATTGCAGCATCAATTGAGCTCATCTGGAACACATTATCCGGAAAAAGAAAATCAGAACAGAAACATCATCAAAACAGATTACATGCTGAACCACTCATATAAATTTAGCTAGCTTCGGTGCAATGAATACCGAACTTTACAAAAGAAGCTGACCTGGGCCAAGTTTGAATTCACTGTTCGGCCACTTAAGTATTTTGTATCATTGACATGAATGGGCAAAACTCTGTAGGGTGGAGGTAATCTTTCCACCCAAACCCCACACTTCATGATCAAGCATAGGGAGAGTAATAAAATAAACAAATTAAAATTTCTAAAGAACAAATACATACACGCTGTTCTTAATGTTGTACACTGCTATGCCGAAGATTCCTCAAGTAGATCACAGCATGCTTGTCAGAATGGTAGTTATTAATTATCAGCAAAGATATTGAAAATACCTACTTGAATCTTTGATGACCACAAAATTGGTAGGACTGCTTGCCAAGCTCAGAATTACCCAAAAAAGGGTAAATACAGCCCATGAATCAATGGGATTGAAAAGTAAATACATACTCGACAGAATTGCTCCAATATGCAACAATTTTCTCATTTTTAAGGGGATAAAGATGGGCAGGAAGTACAAAAAAGTACCTTTAGAAAACAATGTGTTAACAACTGAATCTGAACAACCACTAAATACCCATCAGGATATGGGAGCAACTCATGTCCACAGCTGTATGAAAGAATCTTAGTAGGACGTACAGGGTAGTTATGACTTACCTGGCTAGTCTCGTCATGCACCTGATATTTCAGCAAGGACATCCTTCTTTCCTCCTACACAAATTTATAAGTCAATGATTTTACACCAACAAAGCAACAAGCCAACAACAGAAGAGAGAATTGTGTATTCTACAACTACAGCAGCACAGGAAAGCCTGCTAACCATGGACATAGCTTCATCATCCCAAACTAAGTAGACCTCATTTCCTGCTGGCTGACTAGCTGGAGCTTTGTTTGCAATTACCGGTGGTGGTCCAATGGAAGGGCCACCAGTATTTGGACCAGAAGCATATGAATGTGAATTCACAGGCATTGCAGCTGCAATTCAAAGGAAAAACAATAAATCAAACACCAAATTAAAACAGCCTAAAGCATCACAAAGACCAGAAAAAGACAAAAAAATCTGTCATCAAAATAGCCTAAAGCATACATGCATGACCCCCCCCCCCCTTCCTCTCCTAAAAAAAAAAAAAAAAGCTGAAAATTATAGCATCAATACATCCAAATCAAATATCTGTTATCAAGACAATCTATGATTTATTTTCTAATTACAGCTGGGCATGGATGCTGCAGATAATGTGAAAGAAAAGACAAACATCTTGATATAGAAATTCAACTAAACAAATGACCAAGGAAGCAAGACCCAATATGGAATAAAAACTCCAAAAACCTGTTCACAGATTTCGCATGAATTTCTATGGACAGAAGTGAGGGGCAACATGACCATCGCAGTATTGGAAGAGCCATTTGGCATAACCCACCACAATTCCAGGAAAAACTCTACATAGCCAAGTAACAAAAATACCATAATAACAAGAAAGATTATATATTTATTTTACAAAATTCGTTATCAGAAAGAACAAATAAACTACTACATGGAGATGTTGCACAACAATTCACCCACAGATGGTCCAAAAAATCAGGATAAAGCCTATAAACCCACACAACTGGTACATTGTAGATTCCCTGAGTTGCAAGGATGGATGCCCAAAAATCTCCATAATACTCAAAATCCCAGAATCTAAAAGAACATATCATATTGCTAGCACATAGAAGGACCACAAACATTTCGTCAACAATTTTAGAAGAAGACCTAATAGTAGATTTTGACTAAGAATTTAATCCAGATAACCAAGCATGCAAGCCATAAACAGAAAGAGATTATCTCAAACCTGGAATCCCAGAGGTCGCAAAAGTATTTGTAGTAGATTTTGACTAAGAATTTAATCCAGATAAACACGAATGCGAGCAATAAACAGATAGAGATTATCTCAAACCTGGAATCCCAGGGGTCGCAAAAGTATTTGTAACAGAAGCATTATTGTTCAAGTATCCATCCACAGAATTTTTTGTTTCGGTCAAAGTGCTCAAAGGAAGACTTGTTGGTAGCATGGGTGCAGAAAATGCTGAATTTTGAGCAGGAACATTGCTACTTGGAACAACAGGGAATAATGGCTGAGATACAGGAATAGGTGGCGGAGCAGGAAGCCCTGGAGGCACAACGGGAACAGATGCTTGAAGCCCTGGTGGTGCAGTGGGCGGCAAGGGAGGCCTTAAATTCTGCACTGGAAACAAAGGTTGTGGTGGCAACCCCAATGGTGCTGATGGTGGAACTGACACAGCTGAATGTTGTGGATACCAAGGTTGAGGGCGTGGTGCAACTGGCCAACCAGCAGGAGGGATTGGTACTGCAGGATTGTAACTGCATTATACAGCAAAGTTAACACAAGTAAGAAATGGAATGCATAACGTGAAAAAATTTCAGAAATACAGAAAAATGATAGCCATAGAGCTAGAAACTAGAGGAAAATGAGTTTCAGAGGTAGGTTAAAGATCTAAATAACTTTTATTTAGCTCAAACGTTCATAGTAGTCAAATGGAGTTCTAAGTGAAGCTGAAACTTGGCTTGATTTTCCAATGATAATTGTCAAAATCTAAGGGAGTTCAAGCTAGGCTTGATAAAAAATTTTCAAATTTGATAGCACAAGCCCTGACGCCTAATATGGTTAGATAAAAGAGACGAATATTTCTACATTGGAGTTCAGGTTCAAAGCTAAGTCAGTGCTGACTATATTTATGTGGGTACATTTATGTACACATATCTACTATAAATCATGCCCTCCCTCCCTCTCTCTCTCTCTCTCCCACCCCCCCTTCCTCCCTCCCTCCCTCTACCCCTCCCCTTCCCCCTCTCTCCCTCCCTCCCTCCCTCTCTAGCAGGTATATCTATTGCACATTATCCTAGTATGTAAAAACACTAAGAAAAAGTTCTAGAAGTTTAACTGAACAAGCTGTGCTTTAAGATTGGCATAGCCTACAAAATGAGCTTATAGTTGAGCATAAATTTGATTCATCTAACTACAATGGGGCACAAAGTTAATTAAACAAGTTGAGGAGCGCTTGTCCACAAAAGAACAAGTAGGACAAATCGCATTTCCTCGAGCACAAAGCATAGTAGGTGTGCAATTGAATGTTGTGTAACAAATACAGTATTACAGCACTTGGTCAACATGAATGTCATTACAGAATAAGCAGGGCGAGTGTATCAGTCTGCCATTCTCTTTGGGCTGTTACTCCAAAATCTTACTGTGATGAGAAGACGGCAAATAATTTTGAATGGATACAGGTTTATGTAAGATATAGGAACATAAGACTAAATTCTAGCACAATAGTTAAAAGATTTATTTCAAAGACATATATTTCAACAGACACTCCAGTGAATGTTATAACAGAAACATACAGAGTTGGCATCACTCCAACACTAGACTGAGGAGGAAAACCCACGCCTAATGAGCCCTGAACCACACCACCAACCTGGGTTGGTAGAATTTCCACCTTGGGAGTTTTAGCTGGTGCCTCATCATCTGCAAGATGAACAGGAGTCAGAAACAGTAACCAAAAACATAATCTGCACAATGAGCAATAAAAGAAAATGCTACTTGATGAATGGCAGGCTTTTGCAAGACCAACATAACAATTTTGCTTCTCCTAACATCTTTCCATAGGGCCAAATAAACAGCATTTGCCCATAGTACATGACAAAAGATAAAAGGCTATTCTCTGCTTTGTAACATGAAAAATGCATATAAAGAAGGAATGTAAGGGAATCACTCATTAAACCACCACAAAAAACATTAGAGGAACTGAAGATTTATTGAGAATACGAAAAGTCAACAACAATTCCTTATGACAATGTAATGCCCTCAAGCATTTCTGTTTTCAAGTTTCAATGGGAACCAAGAAGAAGAAGAAGGTTTCTAATCTTCACTACATCTACAATTAACCATAACACACGTCTGCTACTAATCCATCCCTTACCAAAGTTAAAGTACATATGATTATTGTATTAACTTACACTCCCATGGCACTATAACCCTTTCATATTTGTAATCATCAATTCATTTTACAACTAATCATATACCAACAGTACCTTCTTCTCCATAATGAGCTGCCAGAATGTCAGGTGGAATTCCTTGCATTCCATATATTTCAATATCTGTGGATTCCCTACCAGGTTTTGCATTCGGAACCCTGCAAAATATTGTTGGCTGTAAGCAAAAATTCGTTCACCAATAAAAACAGAAAAAGGCTTTAGCACTTCAGTTCTAGATCTTTAACAGTGATGTTAGTACTCACTTTACAAGTGAGTGCAGAGCCAAAAATTGATATAATAAATGAGTGATAAACAAAGAGAGAACATGAATGAGCAAAAGGAAATTCGCATTGAGCAATCAATATTACATGCTTGCCTCTCGATTCAAATTTCAACTAGACTAACTAATTCCTCATTTTTTGTCAGTTGAAAAGTGGAAAAATATATGCCAATACCCAGGCATGGAGTGCACCACCTAGTATCCCACTCTTGATTCGATAATCTACATCTGCTCAATTTCAGGAATTTTCTATTCTCTGACTTGCCTAAGGAAGAATAAACTCTACACATGATACGAAGCAGATTATAATGATTACCATCCAGGCACAAGCTATCATCTTCTAACACTTCATCTCATTGCAGTTCCCACAATTTTCATCAGAAAGATGTGATCATAAAATTCAAGAAGCGAGCAAATCTATGATAAAGTGCTTGTTTCCCACTATATTTGCACTTGTATATTCCTATATTCTCATCATTCTCCACCCAGTGATGTTTTTATCAATTTCATCTTCCTTTATAGTTCCTGTTCTGAGGGGAGATCATATAGTTCTTGTTCTGAGGCAGATATCATTGAACAAAACACAAGCTTGAGTAGCTATTTTTGAGAACCTAAGTAAGCTTGAATGAAAGGGGTGATCATATAGTTCTTGTTCTGAGGCGGATATCATTGAACAAAACACAAGCTTGAGTAGCTATTTTTGAGAACCTAAGTAAGCATACATTATATTTTTCTCTCCCGTTAACAGAAAAGCTATTGACCACAACTCTCTCCACCTTTTCCAACCCTGTTCAATTGATAATAGTAACGTTACAAGTGATTGTTACTGTCAACCTGGTTTAGTTGGATCTCAATGCAAGGCACAAAAGCTTCTGATCTTTCGCAACAACAGTCAATTACCTTCTTGTCTGTTCACTTTTTCCCAAAATTACCAACCATCATCCTAATTACTAAGAACACGCACCTTCAAACGGTTAGGTCCTTAAACAATTTTTCTGGCTTATCTCTCACTTCACCGGTTTAACACTATACTAGATCTTACATCCACTAAATACGGGCCTTAAGCATGATATTTCCAGCTAGGCTTATATTGCAAGCTTCACTAAACTAAAAATGATCGCTGATTCAGTAAACCTCGGTTCAAAAACTGGGTTTGAACGTGTCACTTCTAAAAAGAACTAATTCTGAATTAAATGGTGAGTGCAGCAAGTGACATAACAAAGAACCAATATACACATATGACCACCAATTTCAACCTAATGAGCCAGATTAGTGTATGAGGTCATTACATTAATAAACTTGCAACAGATTGTAGACATTCAACCAGTCACCTCTTAAGCTTAAACTATCTAGTTTACCAAGAAAAAAAATTTATCTACTACTTTGCTTCATTAACCTATCAAGCAGAATAAAGGCCAATGCAATTCCAAATACTTCAACACCACAAGAATATCCACTAAAGATAATTAAACATAGCAACTAATTTAAACTTCCTGATATAATTCTCACACATTCCACAAATGTAATGCTTCCGTGCACAAGATTGCTCATACTAGCATTAGAGTCCCACTCCACGTATTTAAACTTTTTTTTTCATGGCCTTTGGCATGCTCAAACTTACTAATCCTTTTCCAATTAATCACATTTAGACAATTGAAAAAAATTAGCCCAAAAAGGGAAAAAAAGCATCTTCAAATTCATACCTAGCCCCATCAGCTACTAACAACAACCAGCATTCGAACCCCTTAACAACCAAGATATCAAAATCACAACCATGAAAAAAAATCATTACAAAACTGCAACAAAATTGACTAAAAGCATCTAATTTAACCACTTCTGAAAGCTGCGCCAAGTAAAAAGCGATAAACTTCTGCCCAAAGATATCACAACTATCAAATTTCAACTTCGGTGTTTTGTGATCGATAAAGAGAATAGTAATGCATACTTGCTGACGTTTTCTTTATGGACCTGGAGGACGTGGATTTGCATACCGCCGGCGGTGGAGAGCTTCTTATGGCAGACATGGCACTTGAAATGCTTGGCCTTCTGATGCTGCACCAAAATCTTCTCGTCCTCGAACTCTCTATCGCAATAATAGCACCACACCTTCGATGTCTGAGCTCTCTTCTTCTTCTTCCCCATTCAACTGTCAATTCAAATTCGATTCAATCGATGGATTGGACAAATTAAACGCCACTGAATTGAAGTCTTAAGGTTTCTAGGCGAGAGAGAGAGAGAGAGAGAGGAGAACAGGAAGGAGGGGTTAGGGTTCCTGAGTTTCTGAAGGATGCCGCGGGGGAAGGACAAGTGGGCTGGCCGGCTGGATATAGACTATTTTTGCCCTTTTTGTTTTTGCTTTTGTGTTTTGTTGTATGATTATTTAACTATATAGAAAAAAAAAAACTATTTCTATCCAACAAAATAAAAATACAATTAATAAAATTGGATTCAACCAAAAATCTATTAAATATAAAAAGGACAATAACTCTATTATTCTAAAATTAAAATACAAGAAATTGTACTTAATTGCAATATAGTTACACTCGATAATTAACGAAAAAAGTGAAAATTACGTACATTCATCAATCCGCTGAATGATTTAAAATGTTGATAATAATGGAAAAAGCAATAAATGCTTAAAATTGAACTAATTAATTGATATTTACAAAGATTTTTTTTTTTTTTTTTTTGGATATGTGAAGCCATTTACATGCATTACAACATTGATGGTAGCAAATTTGTGAAGTTGATAACTAACATATGTGATCAAATGTTAAAAAAAATATTCAATTAATCTTGGGATGAATGATAAATATAATTAAGATATTTAACTTCAAACTAAATAAGATAGACACAAGTAATGGTTCCTTTTGGCAAAATTGGATCTTGAAAAACAAATCATGTACATTCCAAAGGAAAAATAAGGTTTAATCAAGTATATTCTCTTTCTGTTAGAATTTTATGTTGTCATTTATTTAAAAAAGAATTAGTGAAAATTTTATTTCTATTTCACAAAAAAATAATTGGAGCTTTTTTTGTATGAACAGAATTTTAAACAAACATTGCTATGATTGAATGGAAGGGGGGGGGGGGGGCTTATAGGGTTTGTGAATGAATATTAGGCAAGGAGCCTACTACATTTGTAATGATTGACACTCTTACAAGGTATTTTTCAAGGGAGAGGAGTAGAAACAATCGTCGTAGAATCATTCTTGAACGGCATAAGAATATTTCAACAGATTGTAACTCACTGTTAATTACTTGTATATTTTTTGAATAGAGATGTCATATTTAACTAGTATTATGTGGATTCGTACAAGTTAATTAGTCAAAATTACATGTTGTTATCTCGTCCCTATAACTTGAATTTTACCTTGTCGGCTAAATTTTAACCATGAACTTTTTGGAACGATTGTCACTGATAACCCTCCGCACCCTTAATCTTTTTTCAGTGACATCAAGAAAGTTGCACGCCTAGAGCAGAGTTAAACATGGCACATCCATACTCCACAAGAAATTGAGATCTAGCTATTAAAGTCAACTCCAAATTGGTAAGCCATAATCTTCTGTTAAACATATTTCACTACATTCTTTTTTTTTTCTTTTTTTGTGATAAATACGCAATGAAATTTCTGAGGACACCATCATAGGTAGAACTTCAACGGTTAAAGAGCGTAGGGGAAGAATACTCTTTATGTATGAAACAACGACAAGAAAGGAAAAGAAAAGAAAAGAAAAGAAAAGAAACGGAAGGAGCTTAGACGTTAGAACCACAGGTTCTGCATTAGCCAATTGACAGCATTTCTGTACTTTCTTGAATTTTTCTTTCTCTCAATGATATGCTCCCCCACTCTGAATCTACAGTTCCATGGTCCACGCAGCTGGTTGTCTGCCAAAAAGTGAAATGGTCCACGCAAGTCATTCTGAAAATATTATACATGGTGCATTAGCTCTTGTACGCATCTACACAGAGCATACCATGCTTTCATTATAAATAAACGAAACAATGCTTTAAAGAAGGAAATCATAGTTTACTCAACTGTCTCGTTCAGTCTTCCAATTTCTCACCACGTATATTCTATGCCCTTTATAATCATCATCTGTCTTGTGAAACAAAAAGAAAAAAAATTGCTGCAACAGACTAGAATGTTTCCATACAATATCGTGATGTTGGTCCATCTTTCCATATTGTTTCTACCAAAACTTGTCTTTGCAAAGTGCACCTGTGAATCCCAGATTAAAGGTCATGGAATCGAACATGAAGCACTTGAATTCAAACTTATTGGGATAGGTTCAATCTTATTGGCAAGTGCAATTGGAGTTTGCATTCCTTTATTGCTTAAAAATGTGAGAGCTTTACAACCTGAAACGGGCCTTCATTTCTTGATAAAGGCTTTTGCTGCTGGTGTTATCTTAGCAACTGGCTTCATCCACATTCTTCCTGATGCTTTTGCAAGTTTGACTAGTCCATGCCTTCCTGAAAATCCATGGGGAGGTTTTCCCTTCGCGGGTTTTATAGCTATGATGGCTGCTATTGTAACCCTGATGATGGAAGCTCTAGCCACCGGATACCATAGAAGAGCAGAGATGCAGAAACCTCAGCCTCTGGATGCCGACGAGGAAGCTAACCCAACAGATGCTGGCCATGTTCATGGTCCTGCCATTTTGTTGGAAAGATCAAATTCGTCAAGTCTTATTCGGAATCGAATCGTATCTCAGGTAATATCCAACGTTTCTTTTACTTCAAAAGTTCAAGTGACAATGGAAAATACTTATACAAGATGGACTAGAAAATGACCAAAAAAAAAAAATTTTTTTTTTTGTTTTTTATCTGAAACACCTAAAAGTGGAGAATCATCCTAAGATCTGTGCAGGTGAACATTTTGCTGAGGTAAAAATGCTAAACAGTCAGTCCTTAAACAAATCTATGAAATCTTGACATATTGTTGGGAAGTTTAATTTCTAAGTCTTTTTTTTAAAAAAAATAAAAAATTTTCCTTTGTACAATTTAGTTGGAATACTTAAATGTTTAAAATTGTATATTTTGAGGATAATTTATGAATACTTCTCGCACTAATTCAGATGGAAAATTATTGAAAGTGGTAATTATTCATCTATATCCGTACGCAAAAAAAAAACTGTAACTAGTTCTGCCATAATTTTCATCAATTGTGGTACCTATTCTGAAATAATAATTGGTCCTCAATAATCAATATCTGTCTTCGTAAAGGGTACCCACGTCGTCATTCAGGTTTCAATGACACATGTTCGTTAAGCTCTGCCAAAAATGTAAATATATACCTCTTTAGAAAGAAAGCTAGAAGTATGAGCAAGTTAGTTATACAATCAAAGGTAAACTGCAGCCAATTATGTGATCCATTAATACTAATCACATAATTAGCAAATCGCCAGAAGAAAAGACTCATCTTACTTGCTTTGAGGTGTAGTTGGTGGTGGTTGATCGCCATTAGCGATCATGACCGTCTAATATTTTTTTTAGGATGCTTCAAAATGCAAGGGACTAATTTAGTAGAGAATGGTCTTAATTTCGCCTTTAGTATGCAATCCTACTAACTTAAATTATCCCTTGTTTAATTTGTACTAATTAACTTGTTACAGGTTTTGGAATTAGGCATTGTATTTCATTCGACGGTAATTGGAGTATCCATGGGTGCAACTCAAAACCCAAAAATCATCAAATCCTTGATAGCAGCTTTGAGTTTCCATCAGTTTTTTGAGGGCATCGGACTTGGAGGATGCATTTCTCAGGTACGCTTTGTCAACCTTTTCTTTCATCTGTATATTTACTTGAATGAGTGAGTACGTTGCATTCATTCACCATACCAAAATGTTTGTGCAAAACAGTAGCAACAAGTCCAAGTAGAAATACCAGTGAAGGTCGCATAATTCTGGATGAACATCGCCTTAGATATTTTGCCTTGTACGCTAATTGGCACTTGCGAAGTCCGAAGTGGATTATCTGGAGAGTAGGTCCAGATGACCTACATTTTATTTTTATTTGGTAAAGATATATATATATATATATATATATATATGTATATATATATGACCTCAATTACTTATTTTGTCGCAATGCAATCATGGACTCATTGATGACGTCGAGATATATTGTTTTTAATTTGTTAAAAGGAACCCTCATACTTCACTTATCTTTTAATAACTCGAACCCGTGACGTGGTGGTATGTCTACGTCTTACTAATTAGATTGTGCTCCGTCGTGTTTTCCGTCAAGATATATTTGTTATTACAATTAATGGAATTGTTGATTGTATTATTATTAGAGATTCTATCGAGACAAATCAAGCAGGCAAAAGGGCTTTGTTGGAATATTCGTACACATTTCGTTTTTCTCACAAACTTTGCTCCCGCCGGTGCCTAAAATAAATGGTATCGATGCAAATATATACTTGCTCTTTCCCTGATTTTCACAGGCAAAATTCAAGGCTAGAACAATCACTACAATGGTGCTGTTTTTCTCCCTGACAACCCCAGCTGGTATAGCCATTGGGATCCTGATATCAAAACGGTACAATGAGTACAGCCCAACAGCATTGGTTGTTCAAGGGGTTCTGGATTCAGCATCATCTGGGATTCTGATTTACATGGCACTGGTTGATCTTCTTGCAGCTGATTTCATGAATCCAAAGCTCCAAACCGATTTCAGGGTCCAATTCGGAGCCAATTTTTCACTTCTTTTGGGAGCCTGTTGCATGTCACTGATGGCCAAGTGGGTGACTCATGATTTCTTAATTTCCATGTTTCTTTCTTATTGACTAAAGTATTCAGGATTCTTCTATGATATGCCCTAAGAACACAGAATAATAGAATATGAGCAATGGGCCGGTTATCTTTAAGAGCTGCACGTGTAATTTTTTATCTGCAAAAAGTTCCATGCAAATTAGAAAGTGGAGGTAGGTCTGCCCCTCTTTTTGATGTGCCTATCGTAGGAAAAAGTCGAGTATCAATACTACTTCTTCTTTTTTTTTTTTCTCACAATTGCTTTGGCCATTTCGAAAAGAAAGGCTTCTAGTTCTGCTAGGAACATTCAAATTGCCTGATAAATTTGAAGATTCCTCCTTCCAATCTTCGTGGTGTTCTCTAGTGCAACGTTTGGACGGGAGAATTCGGAAACAGTAGTGGAGTTCTTTGTGAAATCTAGAAGGTTGGAAGAATGAAGTTTTCTCAAGCTTCTTCCTTTACCACTGCTTTCTCCTACCATGGCAAAGTGGGGAAAGATTCCTCGGATTTCAAATCAGTGGCGAGCCAGAAAAAATTTTCAGTGAGGACAAAAGTAACACTAAAATTTTTTATCTGCTCTTT